CTAGGGGTAAGACAGGAATAAAGACACAGACCTACTAGAGAATGGACTTGAGGATATGGGGAGGGGGAAGGGTAAGCTGTGACAAAGCGAGAGAGTGGCATGGACATATATACACTACCAAATGTAAAACAGATAGCTAGCGGGAAGCAGCCGCATAGCACAGGGAGATCAGCTCGGTACTTTGTGACCACCTAGAGGGGTGGGATAAGGAGGGTGGGAGGGAGGGAGACACAAGAGGGAAGAGATATGGGCATATATGTATATGTATAACTGATTCACTTTGTTATAAAGAAGAAACTAACACACCATTGTAAAGCAATTATACTCCAATAAAGATGTTAAAAAAAAAAGAAGTAAATTATTCATTTAAGCAATATTTTAAAATAGAAGTGCTTTAGAGGGAAATTTATGGCTATGACACCTATGTTAGAAAGGAAGAAAGATCTCAAATCAATAACTTAATCTTCCACCTTAAAAAATTACCAAAGAAGAGGAAACAAAACCCAAAGCATGCAACAGGAAGCAAATAAAGATTAGAGCAGAGTTCAGTAGAAAAGAGAAATTTTTAAAGTAAAGCAAATCAACGGGACCAAAAATTGGTCCTTTGAAAATTTCGAGAAAATTGAGAAACTTTAGCTAGATTGGCCAAGAGAAAAAGAAAGAATTACTAAAACCAGGAAGGAAAGAGAAGATAACATAAATTAAGAGGATTACAAGGAAATTCTATGAATTGCATGCCAACCAGTTATATAACTTAGATGAACCGTACAAATTATTAGAAAGACACAAACTACCAAAATGGACTCATGAAAAAAAAAAAAAAGAAAGAAAATCTGAATAGATTTTTAATAAGGGCTTAAATTGGTAATCAAAAATCTTTCCAGAGGACTTCCCGGTGGCACAGTGGTTTAGAATCCGTCTGCCAATGCAGGGGACACAGGTTCGAGCCCTGGTCCAGGAAGATTCCACACGCCATGGAGCAACTAAGCCCGTGCGCCACAACTACGGATCCTGTGCTCTAGAGCCCACGAGCCACAACTACTGAAGCCCTCGTGCCAAAACTACTGAGCCCACCCGCCTAGAGCCTGTGCTCCACAACAAGAGAAGCCACCGCAATGAGAAGCTCACGCACCACAACGAAGAGTAGCCCCCACTCGCCGCAACTAGAGAAAGCCGGCACGCAGCAACAAAGACCCAACGCAGTCAAATAAATAAATAAATGTATTAAAAACTAAAAAATCTTCCCACAAAGAAAAGTCTATATCTATTTGGCTTCAAGGTAAGTTCTATCAAACACTTAAAGAATAATTAATCAATCCTTCATAAACTCTTCCAGAAAATATAGGAGAAATAAATGCTTTCAGCGTTCTATGAGGTAAATATTACCCTGATGCCAAAACCAAAATCACCATAAGAAAACTACTGACCTATATCCCTTATGAATATAAACAGAAAAATCCTCAACAAAATATCAGCAAACTGAATCTAGATCTTAAAGCATCACACCTTACAACCTGGAGATTTCATCTATTGGAAAAGACACCTCCAGAAAAACTCTTTTCAACCTCCCTGGAGAGGCCCCTATCAGGCACTGCTAACCAATATTTTTGCCACCAAACTCCAAGGAATAGATTCTTGAATTCATGTGACATAACACACTGAAAGAAAGCACCGAACCCTGACTGGACCTGCACATCATCTGGTGACCTGAAAGTAAAGATTTCCTGTAACTGAAGCAGATGACATCTGATAAGACAGCTTTCCCAAGATATCCAGAGAAACCCTGTTAGAAGTTTGTCACCAAACCTTTGATGATGACATAATGCTCCAGACGATCTCCAATATCTATGATCTTGATAACATATGGACTTTTTAAAAGTACCAGAAAGTTCTCCCTCCAACCTCTCCTTGTTATTCGAGTGTGATCTTAATAAGTTTCTAATCTATGTAATTTCCTTCTGATGTGAGACACTACACCCAAGAAAGGTCCTTCCTGACACTGAGGGACAAAAGGCTGCTAAAACTAGGCAACCTGACATTTAATCAGTGATGCTTTCAGAGAAAAATCTTGTGATCAAAGGGGTAAATGTAAAAAATTAATAAACAGAAACCTCAATTAAATAGAGTTGGGATACCAGAAAGGGAAACCCTGCAAATGATAGTAGAGCTCAATAGGAAGAATAAAGACTCCTCTTCTTTCCTGGCAAGGACTCATCAGCCAGTGAAAGGCCATGGAATCTGTTTAGCCCTCCAACTTTCCTTTTCACCCCCATAAAAAGGTTCTCCTTCCCTTGCCATGCAGGAACTTGAGCATGGCTCACCATGGCTGCAGACCCCAAATTGTAATTCTCTGCTGATCCCAGATAAACCCATCTTTGCTGAAGAAATACCTGGTAGTGTATTTGTTTCAGGTCAACAGTAAGTATACTGACAAAATAGATATATCTCTTCAATGGCAAGGAGAAAAAAAGAAAAGGAAAAATATATAGATTAAGAGACAGAACAAATAAACAATGATGACTCTTCTCAGAGTGAGTCAGATGCCATCTGGATACTGATTTGAACAAACTATGTATGGGGGATTCCCTGGTGGCGCAGTGGTTAAGAATCCACCTGCCGATGCAGGAACACGGGTTCGAGCCCTGGCTGGTCCAGGAAGATCCCACATGTCGCAGAGCGACTAAGCCCGTGCGCCACAACTACTGAACCTGCGCTCTACAGCCTGAGAGCCAAAACTACTGAGCCCATACTCTCCAACAAGAGAAGCCACCGCGATGAGAAGCTGGCGCACCACAAAGAAGAGTAGCCCCTGCTCACTGCAACTAGAGTAAGCCTGCATGCAGCAACAAAGACCCAATGTAGCCAAAAATTAAAAAAAAAAAAAGTATGGGACAGTTGAAGAAATTTGAATAATGGGATATTAGATGATATTAAATAATTATTGAAAAAACTTTAGACGTAATAAAGATGTTCTGATTATGAGAGACAGAAAAGGAGAGGGAGAGGAGGAGAGAGAGAGAAAGACCAACCTTATCTCTTACAGATTCATACTGAAATATTTACAGATGAAATCATATGAAGTCTAGAATTTCTTTTTAAATAATCCCACAAGGTAGGTAGATGGGATGGGGAGAAGGAGGTTTACTAGAAATGTAAATTATATAGGAAATAAGAGTGGCCTTATGTAGGCAATTGTTAAGGTTCAGAGATAAACATATGGGAATTCCTTTCAGTATTCTCTATACTTCTGTGAATGTGTAAACATTTTTACAATAACTAGTTTAAAAACAAACAAACAAACAAAAAAGACCAGCCAGTCACCTTCTTAATCTCTGACATATTTCCAAAACGTTGAAATACATGCAGGGCAAAGGCAAGACTGCAAAAAAATTAGTTAACCTAACAGTACAGTTAGAAGCTCTGATTATTAATGTGTAAAATAACTTGGAGTATTTTTTTAATTATATATATATTTTTAAGATAAAATTTGATTTGAAAAAATATGCATATCTAAATAAAACGTGTTAAACATGAACTATCTCTCAGCTGTAAAAATCTCTGGACTCAATGATAGGAAAGCTTCCTTTTAAGTATTTACAGTCTATAATTTTTTTTCTTATTTACTTAAAAACATGAAAATTAGTAAAATTCTTTCCTGGTTTCAGAATAAAAATATCAAAAGTGTGATTTAATAAAAAGTAGGTATAATATGAAGAATTAGATGGAAATGATTTCTTAAGGCAGCAGTTCTCAGATAGTTTGGTTTCAAGACCCTTTACACTCAAAATCTTTTGAGAACCCCCCCCAAAATGTCTGTTTATATGAGTTATTTGTGTCAGTATTTACCATAGCAAAAGTTAAAATTAAGACATTTTAAAATACTCACTGTTTACTTCATTTAAAATAATAATAAACTCAATGTATTTAACACAAATATTTTATGGAAATGATATTTTCAAAAGCAAAAAATTTAGTGGAAAGACTATCACTATTTTAAAATCCTTGGCTATTAATTCTATCATTTGTGTTATTTCTGGACCTATTTCTATTGATTGATGTTTTCCCCCTCATTATGGGATGTATTTTCCTACTTCTTTACATGTCAGACTTCTAGAAAAAGGTAGCTTAATTATAAAGGGAAAGCAAGATAATTTTATTCTTTCATTCATTCACAAGCAAGTTTCATTCATTCAACTATCAGTTTTTAATATTATTAAATCCTTTTTTACAATAAGATAAAATGATTTAATCTTATACCTCAAAATGTTTACATTATTAATTTTTAAATAACATAAACATGAAAATATAAAAATATAATCCATACATCTAAGTAATATAATCTTAGAGCCATATAGTAACTATCTTATGTTCATTTCTTATCTCAACATCCACCTAAAAAATGAACTCAGGCCTCTTACTGATATAGAAATGAAGCTAAGGGTAATGAAAAATTTTCCCACACCGTAACAAAAAAAGTATTCTTTCTTTCCTTCACTTATAATGTTCCTATATCAAAGAAAGAGGTTTTAAAGCCAACAATAACAATGGCAGTAAGTGTTCCTGTTTTAAATGAAATGCAATGGTTTTTTTTTTTTGCGATACGCGGGCCTCTCACTGTTGTGGCCTCTCCCGTTGCGGAGCACGGGCTCCGGACGCGCAGGCCCAGCGGCCATGGCTCACGGGCCCAGCCGCTCCGCAGCATGTGGGATCTTCCCAGACCGGGGCACGAACCCGTGTCCCCTGCATCGGCAGGCGGACTCTCAACCACTGCGCCACCAGGGAAGCCCGCAATGGTTATTTTGACTGAACAGAAAAGTAATCTATTTTCCTTAATGTCTATAGCTTTGTGATACTAGTTGATTGTATAATTGGCCTTAATATAAATATATCTTATTAGTTCACTTTTCCATGAGAGCCCTGTTATTGAGGGAAAAGAATTAAATTTTTAAAACTTACTGTCTTAGTGCCATGCTTCAGCGTTATCTCATGCGAGTCAGGGATCTTTTGGACAGGATTCTGAAAACAGAAAATTCCACGACATTGATGAGTAATATAACATATTTGGGGGAACTACATACCACACTCACAGGAAATTTAATTTTTAAAAATTGCATCACTGCAACTAAGCCCGTGCGCCACAACTACTGAGCCTGCACTTTAGAGCCCGCGAGCCACAACTATTGAGCCCATGTGCCACAACTACTGAAGCCTGTGCGCCTAGAGCCTGTGCTCCACAACGAGAAGCCACTGCAATGAGAAACCCACGCACCACAATGAAGAGTAGCCCCCACTCGCCGCAACTAGAGAAAGCCCGCGTGACGAAGACCCAATGCAACCAAAACTAAATAAAAATTAAATTAAATTATTTTTTTAAGTGTGAGCATATCTTATTTCTGCAGTTCTAGATAGATTACAATTGGTCACTTTGAACTGATGATAAATTTATCTTAAATCTCTAAAAAGATAAACCTAAGATATTCTTTAGGTTGTATGAAACCATAAGGTCCTCCCTATATGGAAAATTTTTAAAGTCCTCTTTGGTACTTGGGCATACCTTAAAGTACTTAGTTTATAACAGACAACAAAATTTGCACAGGATAGATACATACTTTTTAACCCATAAAGGATTAAAAAACAAAAAACTGATATTCAAATGATACAAATAAGGAACAGAGTCATTCACTGCTTCATCGATTGAGCAAGGCTTTATTAAAGTGAGATTATACCAGATGCTAAGTGGCGTTACACACAGCCTCTACTCTCTCCTCCCAAGAAGCACATGGTCTAAGAGGGAAACATCAATGACTCTACTTCAATGTAATACATGCTATGTTAGAAAGGGTATGGACAGAATAACTGAGGGATGAAGAAAATGGATGCATAAATCAGACATAAGAGGTCACACTGATCATTTAAATAAGAAGTTTCATTGCTTAGTCAAGTCTCCATTATCCAAGAGCAGGGTAGTTACAGCCGTTACAAATTTATGTTAGGATTATCTTGCAATCTACTTAATTAAACATGTTCAGGGAATTCCCTGGTGGTCCAGTGTTTAGGACTCTGCACTTTCACTGCCAAGGGCCCAAGTTCAACCTCTGGTCGGGGAACTAAGATCCCACAAGCCATGTAACACAAGCCACGTGGCATGCCCAGAACAAATAAACAAACAAACAAAAACGTGCAATCTACAGACTTTGGTCCCTAACTTCCCTCCTTCTTTTGGATCCTTGATGAACCAAGCAATCACTAGTCCTTTCTATTTTATCTTAAATCTTTCCCCTACCATGGCTCTTTCTCCTCAGAATATGAACAATTTAAGTACGTCCCATATTGTGACTTCCCTGGTGGCGCAGTCGTTACGAATCTGCCTGTCAGTGCAGGGGACACGGGTTTGATCCCTGGTCTGGGAAGATCCCACATGCTGTGGAGCAACTAAGCCCCCATGAGCCACAACTACTGAGCCTGCGCTCTAGAGCCCATGGGCCACAACTTCTGAGCCCGCGTGCCACAACTACTGAAGCCCGCGCACCTAGAGCTCGTCCTCCACAAGAGAAGCCACTGCAATGAGAAGCCCGTGTAACGCAACGAAGAGTAGCCCCCGCTCGCCGCAACTAGAGAAAGCCCGTGCACAGCAACGAAGACCCAACGCAGCCAAAAATAAATAAATAAATTTATATTAAAAAAAAGTACATCCCATATTAAAACACACACACACACCCCAATTTCGCCGAGGTTTACTGCTATACCACTATCTTTTCCTTTACAATCAAGCTTCCTCACACTACAGTTTTCACTCATTGTATCTACTTTCTTTCACCCCTCTACCTCTAACACTTTGGCACTTGTCATTTAATTCCCAATACCTAGCACAGTTCTTGGTACTTAAAGGACTCTTAGTAAATATTTCTTGAATGAATAAATAAGTCACTATAAATGTCCCAGGACACTTTTCAGAACTTAATCTGCACGTCTGACCTTTCATCAGCATAACTACTTAACTATTTCCTCCAACTTGAAACTATTCTTTCTTGGGAGGAAACAGCCTTGACAAAAAGCCAGAAAATCTAGGGTTTTAAAATCAAGCTCTGATACTCATTAACCTTGTCATAACCTCAGGAGAGTAATGACTCTCAGTTTCCTCATTTGCAAACAGGATAATAGCACCTGCCCCTTAGGTTACTGTGAGGCAAGTGGTTTAAAGCTCATAATACAGAGTTCGGCACAAAGTAGGTACTCAATAAATGACAGCCACCACTTATTCTAAGGCTTACCTCCTGTCTCTCTTGTCATATTATCTTGGTCTATTTCCAGGCTTCTCTTCCTTTTTACTTGGCTAATTCCTACTCACCCTTTAAGATGCAATTCAGATGTGACCTGCTCCTGGAAGCATTTCTCAACATTTCAAACTCTGGGTTAAATGGCCCTTCCATGCACTCCCATGACACCCTCTCCTTGTCTATCACAGAACCTATCATAATACATTGTAATTTTTGACCGGTCTCCCTCCACACCACTCCGTAACCAAACTCAAGAGATGCTTCTCAAAGACCGTGTATATATATCGTCTCTGGGTCCCCAATCCACAAAACACCTGGTATATGGCAGACACAAGAGTTTTTGGAGTGTATTAATGGCCCTTACAATGTCTACCTCATAAATCACATTAGATTATTTTTAATTTACCTCAAACATTAATGTTTATGTCCATAAAGAAGAACCAGTAGGTGCTATGCATCAGGTGAGCCTGGTGAGTCAGTCATATTTTCCAAAAGTGAAAACCTTTGAAGACCAAATGATTCTATCCCAGACTAAAAGCAAATGTAAAGTTGCAAGTATAGAGAAATAAAGGCAATTTTGTCTTAAACTATTTGCATCTGAGAAGTGGCTATAGTTGATTACCACCACAGATCAGTAAAGAAGGAGATCAGGAACCAAGAGGCACTGAACAAAAACACTTACCTCATAGTAACCCAAGGAACTGCTGGAGAGTTTGCAGTTTATTTCAAGACAAAGACATTACAGTATGGTTTAATATGTTTTGAAAAGTCCTGCACACACCAATATTGGAGAAACCAATATTCCAACACAAATTCCAAAATAATTTAAAAGTTGAACAAATGAATTCTGGACTACCCCTACATTAAATTATGTAAACCACTGCTCCCTTTGCAGTTGACAATATTTGTAAGTAATAAAAACTCATGTAAAGGTGCTTAAGTACTCCTGAAAGAAACAGGAGAACAGTTCAAATGTTTTACTTAAAGAAAAATCTATTATAGTATCATTTCATAACCAATTCCTTTTTCATCACTCAGGAAAGAAAAACACTGTCACCAGAAGGAAGGATGAAAATTATTTCACTGAATTCAATGCAGAACGTGCCTATATACAGACAATGTCTGACATTTAAAGAAAAAACTTACAAGAATACAGAATAGCTCAGTATTTACATTAGGAATGAATTAAATGTTTAAATAAGTATTGTTTAAATTTAAAATCAAAGTTTTACTGGAAATCATGTAGGGCATAACTCATAAAAAGCCCATATAATTGGCACAACTAAATCATCTAAAATAGTAGCAATCCATCTTTTGGTAGCATATCACTTGATGGTGACTGTTCTTTTTCCAGAACTTTTACTAATGACTTTTTGAAATATGGCTCAGTGTGAAATTTGCTGTAACAGTAAAATATTTTCAAGATTTCCCTGCCAGGGGACATCATAAACTACAAGACTTCAAATGAAGTCATTTATTACCAAAATTCATAACAAGAGCTACAGTCTTAATGGAAGAAAGGAAAAGATACCAGTTTTTGTTTTGGTTTGGTTTTAAATGCCAACCAAAGGATTATTTCCCAGGCTCTTTCGTTTACCCCAGTAAGAACAATGATAGCAAACATATCTAGAATAACATGAGCAATTCCATCTGATACACTATACATATATCCCTGTAGTGTTTTTCAAAAGACTTGCAAATCATTTATAACCTTTCTGGGGTAATATGTCATAAATTTTAGAAGTTATATATGTATAGTAGTATGAGTCAAAATAAAAAGTCTACTCAGTAATAAAGATCTACCACAAAGTGGCTAACAGTTGGGACAGAGAATGGGGATTTCCAACCAGGAGTTTGAAAATGAGCGCCACTCTCTCCCAGAAACCACTTTGGAAAGAGTTACCAGTGCAGAACCAAAAGCAACCAGAATTAGAGTCCATTCTGGTGTAACTCTTAAAATTAATTCATTTATTCACTCACTCACTGATCACACATTCACTTAACAACATTTATTGAGTATTATATACTACATACCACATACCAGGAACTAAGTTAAAGATAAAAAGCCCAATAACAAAGACTCTGCTCATGAAGAACTATCAGTCCTGCAAAGCAAAACAGGTAAACAAACAGGCAAACTAAAATATTTCAGATGCTATGACAGAAGGATACACAGGGTTCAGCACTCAATTCCACTGTGCCTGGGGAAGTAGAGAGTGATTAGAAAAGGCTTCATACAAGAAATGTTTGAGATGCTTTTGGAAAAACAGAAGTTCCCTAGATGAATGTGGAGGGCATCTAGGCGAGAATAAGATGAATCTTGACACTTTCTGAGTTGCAAATATTTTTGCCTGGCTAGAGTTTAAACTCCTGGGCAGGAAAAAAGAGAAGGATGTGTGGTGTCGGGGTGGGGGGTATTTTTTTTTTAATGTTAACCCAGAGAGTTCATTATAGGCCAGATTGTATACAATGCCAAGAATCTGAAATTTAAGCTCTGAGCCATGTAGAGTAATTTGATAAGAATTGAGATTTCAAAAAAATCACCGAGGCATCAAAAGACACAATTAACACAGTGAAAAGGCAACCTACACAACGGGAGAAAATATCTGCAAATCATATATCTGATATGGTGTTAATATCCAGAATATATTTAAAACTCCTATGACTCAACAACTACAGTGAAAAAAACCCAATTCAAAATTTGGCAAAGAACTTCAATAGTTATTTCTGCAAAGAAGT